ATTTGGTGGCTGTTATAATTTTTGGTATAGTAGTTGTGACTTATTCACACTATATACATTTGGTTTTCGCATCAATAACTGATCATTTAGAAGGAAAACTTTTTTCTTACAGCTTTTGTTCCTTGAACTACAATTATACAACCTATTTTACCTAACAGATCGGAAATTGTTGTCAATGAGCTCTGTAAGCCATAAAGGTTCTTCACTCTCAATTATATATTCCAAACCAACCAAATCGGCTATCATAGGCTTCACCCTCCACATTTATAAAGCTAAACCTACTTCTTTGATACAAAGAATTTTGGACCTTTTGTGGTCAGTAAACCTAAGTCATTCCAACTCTACACCATAAATCCTATTGGTTCAGAATAAAGATGTGAGGTTATCTCCATAGGAAGCTTAAACTGTAAGTTGCTCGGTATTCCAAAAAGTCACAAGTGAGTTGAAAGAAGGGGAGACGAAAGATTGAAAAGAATACCACTCTTTGCTTGTCTGAAATGAATGATCCAGTTAAATCCCGAAGCATTTCTATTATGTCATTGAACCTCACTTTCCCATTGCAGTCAGAATCATATACTTTGAAGATAACTGCAACATAAAAACAGTTGACCAAGTAAGTGAAGTGGTGAGAAGACTGCCAAGGACAGTGAAAAATATGTTGCACTTTCAGTGTGATGGACTTTCCAATATGGCCGACGTAACACCACTCCTAGTTCCCCTAACACAAAACCAGATTCTAGAACGACTAACAGACAGTCATTTATTACTCCAGATAGATCATGTTGTTAATGAGAAGTGTGCTTTAAAATTCTAGCAATGATGAACTTATTAAACATATTCATTTTTGGGAAATATAATAAATGCAATAAACCTTACACTTAGCTGAATGTCCTCAGCTAGTTGATTGATTCGCAAATATCAGGTGTAACTAAAAGTGAATGATGTTTTAAAAAGCTAAAGATTCTTGATATCAAGAAGCATTTTCCTGAAGTTACAAAATAAAGCATATTAAGGATAAGCTTAATAACCAACGTTCAATTTTCTGTTGCATGCTCGCATTTGCACTGAAAGTTGACAAAAATGCCACTAAGTCCTTGAAGTTCAAGCCGTCCACCATCTTAAGTAATCTCTGGAAAGAGCCAAGCAATCATATCAAACACACAGAGCATACAAAATTATAGAAGAAGCATATCCTAATATCTTAATATATACAAAACCACAACTGAAAACAAAAACAGAAACTTATTCCCAAACCTGAGAGAGTGGATTCATTGCAAACTCCGGAACTGAAAGGAACTCATCAGCATAGATAAAACCCTCTGAATTCCTATCCAGTTGGCAGAATCTTTCATACAATGAAACTATTTCCTGCTGAGTAACTGTATTTAATGGGACATTAGATAAAGTCAACAAAAAAAATATAGAACAATGAAAGAAGTGGCAAGCCGATGGAGATACTAGCAAAGCTAAATAAGTTAGCTGGTTTTTCGCAGCAATTCAACTTTTTGTGGTTATTGTTCTTCTTCTCTAGCAACAATTTTATACAGACAACTCGATGAAATTCATTTTTTATATTTTTGGTTTAATTCTTTTGAATGTGGTCGCTAAATTTAGTATGCAGTATACATCTATTTTTATTAATTCTCTTCACTCTTTTTTATATTGAAATGATCCGTGCATCGTGGCGGTATGTATACTAATTAGTAAGTAAGGGCAAAAAAGACAACAACTACTACTATCCTAATTGGGGTCGGCTATATGAATCCTCTATATCCGTTCTGCTGTATTACGGACCACTTCATATAATACTAAATAATTTGTCTTTTAAGGCTAATAGATTCAATAGATGAATAAGAGACTTACACAGATTGTTGCAGTGCTCCTGCACATCTTCAATATCATATTGAGTTAACATTGAAGAAGCATTACCCATAGTCAAATCTCAGTGCAAACACTACAAATCCCATCACATTAGCAAAATACCCATTAGCAAATACCCATTAATCAAACTCATATTTTTAATCAAAAGAACAGATTTTTCACCAGTTAAGAATGCCAAAAAGAGAACATTAAACACAACTACAAAAAAGTTCACGAAAAGCAATGGTAAAGGGAATAAAAATATACCTCAGCTTTCCAAGATTTCTGAAACTATACTATAAAGGGTGGATGATAAAGCCAATCAAGAAGAACTGGAAAAAAAAAATTAGTGTTAATGGCAGCTCTAGAAGATTATGACATTGGATTAAGACAACTTTGTCAAGGCCGAGGAACTAAAAACAACCTTGGCTGTATTAGTGACGAGTATTTTGATGTCAATCAAATCTATCACCCCTTTGAAAACTCAACGATTCATGATATGGTGCTTCGCAGCAATGTAGAAATTGCACGGCGTCGCCTCATTTGATCTATACCTATTTTTTTTAAAACTTTTAATTTGTACCCACTTTTTGAATAACTTCAGCCCCTTTCTCCTCCTCCTCCTTCTCCTCCTTCTCCTCCTTCTTCTTCTTTTTCTTATTTCTGCTACTATTTTCTATCTAGTCTACTAGTCTAATACCCTAATAAAAGATGATCTCCTGATGCAATATGTTTTTCTTTTTTGCTTTTTTTTTTTTTTTTGCTAAAAGGTGCAATAGTTCAATATAGTATTGAAAAAAATAGTTTCTGATATGCCGTAGTTAAAGAAATTCTTAGCTTACCTTCCAGCAGGTAGTGAATATGACTGTACAACACCAATTCACACTGCAACCAATGAGGGCGATGAAATCATGGTAAATGAGCTATTAAACCATTGCGCAGATTGCTCAAAAATGCAATGCTATGCATGTTGCTATATTGAACACTCTATAGCTGAAGTTTCCCAATTACAAAGACAAAAACTTCAGCTGTAGAGCTAAAGTTTCCTGGTAACAAAGACAAAAACTTCAGCTCTAGAGCTGAAGTTTCCCGGTTACAAAACAAAAACTTCAACTCTAGAGCTGAAGCTTCCCGGTTACAAAACAAAAACTTCAGCTCTAGAGCTGAAGTTCGCCAGTTAGAAAATAAAAACTTCAGCTCTAGAGCTGAAGTTCGCCAGTTACAAAACAAAAACTTCAGCTCTAGAGCTGAAGTTCGCCAGTTACAAAACAAAAACATCAGCTCTAGAACTGAACTTCAGGTCCGGCTACTAAAATACTGAAGTTTTGTGTGATTATCTTTGCTACTTCAGCCCCGTATGCTGAAGTTATGCGAAAAAGCGGGTACGCTTGCATTTTTTTTGGCAAAGCAGGTACAAGTTAAAATGTGATACAAAAAACGAGTATAGATGCAAATGAAGCAGCAATCGCCTCTACGTGATGAACTGGGTTGGGCTAGTTGAAGATGGATAGAAGCATCTGGGCCTCATGATGGATTGCTCTTTTGGGTTTAGAGATGGGCTTTTAACATAGAGAAATTTTCATAAAGCACTATCTTTTAGTGGTAATTAGCTATCTATAGATAACATTTGCTATATTACGGACTGTAGATACGTTTTCTGTTGTTATAAGATATTTTAGATGTATTTAAGCTACTGTATTCATGAATATAGTAGAAAAAATAGGCGTGAATCAGGGAAGTTCAGCTAATCAGTTGTTGTATTTAAGTGTATTCGATTGTATTCATGGCGTGAAACACGGGATTATAACTGGACAGATTATTGTATTCGACTGTATTTGACTGTATTCACGGCATGAAACAGGGGATTACACTGTTTTTAAATGGAAAGTAAATCAATTAACATAATAGACTCCTAATATAACTCAACAAACTCAATTATAACACACAAAATTTGTATTTCCAGTTATAAAAAAGATTCTCAACCGAAAAATACCCCAAGCACATAGCAATCTTCAGAGAAATTATAAAATACATCTGAATACATAAATTATATTAATTAAAAAAATATATGAATATATTCATGGCATATAACGAGACAGAATACAATGAAATACATAGAATACAGCGGGATATATTGAAATACAATGAAAAAAAGACAGTGAATACAATGAAATACATGGAATTCAGCGAGATACATTGAATTACAATAAAAAATACAATGAATACAATGAAATACATGAAAATACAGCGTGATACGTTGAAAATACATTGAAATATATTAACAGAAAATCAAGTTGCTCAGCCCCAAACTATGTCGTCTTTGTTCAAGAACAAACCCTAATTTCCGGCGAATCCGCCGTCGAGCAAAAACCCTGAATCTCACTGAGCCGAAATTCAGATCTACATAGACAGCAACTTTTGAGAGCAGCTCGGTGACAAGAGCTTTGAGCAGTAGACCATGAAGTTTTTCCAAAAGAAGACCAGTAAATTGGCTATACTATTTATGCTTTCTTCTCTTTAGTTTATCTTATTTTGCAGCGTGACTTCCTGTGAATTGAAAACGAGGATGAGAGACACGAAACGTGGGATTTCTCAGCGTTCCTTTTACCACCGTGATGAGACATCGTGAAATTGAAATCACCGTTTGTGACTAATGGTAGGTGATGTGGGTGAGAGAAATTTTGAAATTGAGCATCGTATTTTCGGGGAATGGGGGAAGAGAATGGCATGTATCAAAGTAGAGAAAGAAAGAAAGCAGTGTAACTGAATAGCGTATTTAGGGGCTTAGGAGTAGGAGGTAACCAAAATTAGATATTTTGCTATAAACATTAAAAGGTATCTATAGAATATAATTTTTTTAAATGGTATTTATTTAAAATAAATAAGGTGTTAACCTTTGCTATGGGAGGTAAAAATGTTAGGGATATAGTAGGTATGCCCTAGATCCAATCTCATATTTGATGATTCGAACATATTTTTGTGAACGTTATTTGATATAAAATATATATGGCATTTGATATTCTTTTATCATTATTATTAATTATTTGATTAATTTGATAAGGCCCTTGATTAAATTTTGAGATTTGATATTGTGATGGAGATCATGATAATGAGAGTGAAGTTTCTTATAATTTAATCTAAATTTGTTCTTGATCATAGGATTATTAATTTGGACATTAATAATCCGGTTAGATCAATATTTATGTGATCGTTTTTATTGGATAAAGATTAGCTGATCTCATTAATAATCACATAGATAGATGATACATATAGAGATATGATCATTGAACCGACTCATTGGATAATTCTTAATGGTTAGAATTACCATAAACTGTCAATAGGATATTCTCTTGAAGAATGTGATGTAAGAGTTTCCTTTGACCTGAGATCGTCATAGTAATTGACAAGTTATTTATTGTGCTTTGATACCAGACACCTATGGCCCTAGGGCGATAGTTGAAAGGATATTAGGTACGATTAAATACTTGTAGAATTAGTGATTGATCAAGACGGAATCTGTCAACTCTTGGTAATGAGTTTAAGCTCCATGTTGTCATGAATTATAAACGACCAAACTAAGACTTTGGTCAGGGCAATTGAATGAAAGAAGAACTGAGTTTCTTAGGTCATTCAGTGGTCGATTATATTTGACATGAACACATAGTTGGTCGCCTATTAGGATTTGACAATTGAACCATATCCTAGGGTGATCCAGAGCTATAAGGACAGAAGGAATTACTACATTATTCTTCTACGGGTTCTTGAGAGTAAATTGTATACTTCATGCTATCCGGTCGTTAAGAAGTGTTTCTAGACGTCACCCTTGATTAGTATATTGATGTGATCAATTTGCTACCAACTTAGTATTGAACCTATGGGGTCGCACACTAACGAGTGTTCTGGTCTTTGCTAAAGGATTAATTAACTTATTATTTGATAATTAAATTAAGGAATTTAATTAGTCAAATAAATTTAGTTATTAGTCCAAATGAAATAATATTATATTCTTTGCTAGCACAGAGGGTATGATTAATATTGTGAACAAGTTGAAGTTTTCTATTTAGAATAGAAAATTAAAATTATTTTTCTTGGTTGAAATATATATGATATATATATAATATGAATTAATATTGATTTATATAAAAATTATATATATATATATATATATATATATAATATTAATTAATTTACCAATTTGGAATTGAAAATATAAAGTCCACAAAGGACGTATAGAATGAATCCAACATTAAGTTGGATTGACGAGAATCCAATTTTAAGTTGGAGGAATGGATTCGGCAGTCACTTTCTCATGAAGAGGTGATTTATCAATTTTTCATAAAATTCGATTGAAGTTTATTTTTGGAATAAACTTTTACCCTAAGTAAATCATTACCTCAATCAAATATGAAAAAGGTTTATAGGTAATGTTATATAAAGGGTGATGGAGAATATTTGCCGTATTAAATTCTAGAGAAGAAAAACACTTTGTGAAAATGAGAGTGCAATACAAAGCCAAGAGAGAAAATACAATTACAAGAAAAGTATTTCTTGTTCTTCTAATTTGAGTTGAGATTTTTGAGAAAAATTTCAACACTATATTCTTCGTTCAATTTGTTCGCGTGTTTCATTGTTCAAAGAGTTGATAGCAAGGATCGGTCTCCGTGTGGATACGCATAGAGTCTTCGCACTATCGAAAAATTTGAAACGAGACTTTTTTCACCAGGTACGTCTTAGATCCGATCTATTGACATGTAAATAAATTTTAAACACGAAAAGATATGTCTAGGATTGTTATTGTCTTCCACTGCGTGTTACGAACACCTATACACAATCCATCAGTGGTATCAGAGCCGTGGTTTATTGTGTCTAAAATTTATTTATGAAATATTTTAATATTATATTTGAAGAGTTCAAACAATAATATTTGTGTATTATGCATTATCCAAATTGTTTGAATGCATATTACATTGATATTATTTTATTGTGAATAAAATATGTATTTATACAAGTTAAACTATTGAGATAGTTCGTAACTTGAATTTGAAGTTTTGTTTTAGATATGACGGGAATATATAATAGGTTACATGATTCTATTGTTATTTTTAATTGTTATTAGTTCATGAGATGTTAATTAATAATAATTTTCTGGCATAAATTATTTTTATGTGATATATAAGATATACATGTTAGAAGATGTTGAATTTCGTTTTTATGTCACATGCTTGTTCGTTACATAATTTTGAATTATTTATTACATGTGATGTAAATCACACCAGGACTAAACATGTAGACAACTTGAACCAAATTCACAAGCTATAAAAGATTTGATCTTCATGTTATTAAAAACTGTTTTAGTAACAATTCTCTCTTACTAAAATTTGAGTTCTTAAATAATAAAATATAAGATATTTTATTATAGAGCTATCCATCAAAGTAAATAATTTTACTTATTTCTTGTTTATAAGGAGCGGCCTGACTACCAGGAGACTTATAGTTCGAGAATATGTTAAAATTATTTATTGCAATAGATGCATGGATTGAGAGAATTATTCAATCTTTTACTAGACGCCTGGACTACCCGGGGAGTATAAAATTTAATAAGTTCTTTGCTATCATGATGGTTGAACTCAACTATTCCAATAGGATCGACCTGACTACCAGGGGACTATTTGACATAGAGCTATTTAAGGAAATTGTATGGGGATACAATTGGTAAGAGTACCTACCTTTAAAATACATGTGAGAAACGAC